TTCAGTCAATCTGCCTGTTCTGTTCTCCATTCTGTCTCTGGTGGATCCTCTCACCCCACCCCCCTTACCTCTGGCATGTACCACAGTTCTTGTATAAAAATAGTGAGTATGGCACATATTAAAAAAACGAGCAACAACAAATATTGGTGAGGCTGTAGAGAAAAAGGAACTTCCCTGCACTGCTGATGGGAGTGCAAACTGGTCCATCCACTATGGAAAGCTGTGTGGAAATTCCTCAACCTGCTAAAGATAGAGCTTCCATATGATCCAGCAATTCCACTCCTAGGTATTTACCCAAAGGACACAGAATCATTAATTCAAAAGGGCACCTGCACCCCTATGTTTATAGCCACACTATTTACAAATAGCTAAGCTATGGAAACAATCTAGATGCCCAAAAATAGATAACTGGATCAAGAAGATGTGGTGCATATACACAATGGAATATTACTCAGCAATCAAAAGAAGATAAACTCATGCCATTTGTAGCAAGATGGATGGAGCTGAAAGGGATCATGCTCAGCAAAATAAGCCAGAAAGAAAAAGAAAAATACTGGATGGTCTCACTCATAGCAGGAATTTAGAAAACCTAAATAAGGGACCAGGAAAAAGACAAAGACAAATTATAATAAAGTAAAAATCAAAATCAACAAGCAACAATAAACCAGAGACACTCTAGAGGGGGGAGTGGAGGAGGGATTAGGGTCAAAATATGGGGGGTGGGAATTGTATGGGAACTATAACCAAGATGAAAATGCATACATTGTGCAAAAAAGAAAAATTATGTAAAAAATATATAAAATAAAAAATAATAAATGGTATTACCATTCACAAAAAAGAAAATTTATTTAAAAAAAAAACTAAAGTTAAAAGTGGGGTGAAGCCATATTATTTTAGAATTGTGGGATGTTAAGGTATCCTAAAATTATAGAAGGCCATTTGTCATGTGAGTTATATCAGCTCCCTATGGTATTTATTATCTCTATAATACATCCAGAGACAGGATACTATGGGCCTTGCAGGTAAATAGCTGTCTTTACCTATCTGTATCTGTCTCTCTCTATATAGATTGCATATATTCTCATATTGATCTACATTCTGTAACTTAATTTGTCACCTAGCTTAACTCTGGAGCTATTTTGTTGGTCTGTCTCTTGTTATATTTCTCTCTTTCCCATCCTTCCTCCCTCTTTTCATGCATCAGTCTCTCCCTTTCCATCCCTTCTCCTTCCTCTCCTGCCTTCCCTCCCTCTATAAGAATTTGCCTTCACGGTGGTTCCTTACATATATTAAGAACCACTAATATGGAGGAATGATGAGAGATAAGATGGCTGATATAAATTGGGACAAAATAAGGTTTAAGGATCAAACTAAGGAACGTGTATATTCTTTAGGCATCTCCCTATGAACACCTGATATAATGCATTGCACTTAGTGATACAGCAAATATTTTAGTCATTAAGTTTCATAAGAAGAAAATATATATTTAAAATATAATTTAAGATATATTGAGTTTATTTTATGTATTTTTACATAATTCTTCATTTTTGCACAATGTATACATTTTCATCTTGGTTATAGTCTCCATACAATTCCCACCCCCCTTATTTTGACCCTACTTCCTCCTTCCCTCCCTCCTCTAATGTGTCTCTGATTTACAGTTGCTTGTTGATTTTGATTTTTACTTTATTATAATTAGTCTTTTTCCTGGTCCCTTATTTAAGTTTTCTAGATTCCTGCTATGAGTGAGACCATCCAGTATTTTTCTTTTTCTTTCTGGCTTATTTTGCTGAGCATGATCCCTTTCAGCTCCATCCATCTTGCTGCAAATGGCATGAGTTTATCTTTTTTGATTGCTGAGTAATATTCCATTGTGTATATGCACCACATCTTCTTGATCCAGTCATCTATTTTTGGGCATCTAGATTGTTTCCATAGCTTAGCTATTGTAAATAGTGCAGCTATAAACACAGGGGTGCAGGTGCCCTTTTGAATTAATGTTTCTGTGTCCTTTGTGTAAATAACAGACACATGGACCAATGGAACCAAATAGAAAATCCAGAAATAAACCCACAGATTTACAGTCAACTAATCTTTGACAAAGGAGCAAAGAATATGCAATGGAGCAAAGAAAGTTTGTTCAATAAATGGTGCTGGGGAAACTGGGTCGCTACATGCAAAAGAATGAAGCTTGACTACTACCTCACACTATATAGAGTTATTTTTACCATAAGAGAAGAAAATATTATGTGATGATATATTTTGGATGAACTAGGATTTAAAAAATGAGAAAAGATGCTTTAGTATTAAATTCAAAATTGGCCATACCTTTTAATTCTGTTCTCCCTACCAGCTCTTCCACAGAAATGAATCTAGCCTCTTGTGAGCTGAATCTTCTCTGCTATCACATTTATAATCTTAAGGGCAATATATTTATCTTATGATCCAGCTTCATCCTACGTTCTCAGAAATTCCTTTTCTGATTAGCATCAAAGGTGACATCCCTTTTCAAAACTTCTTTAGTATATCTCTCTACTCACTTGGCAATTTTTTTTTTACATTTGTACCTTTAATATATGTATTACAGTCTCTACCACTTAATATTAAGCTTCTTGAAGACAAAACCATCTCATTTATAGTTGTATTTCCTACAGGACTGCCCATGTCACTTTCTTTATACATCAATACTTATACAACAAATATTTGTTGACTGCATGTGAGAAGTATTTCGCAACCCAATTCGGTATCCCGGGAATCAACTTAGACAGTAGCAATTGCCTCCCAGAACAGGAATTGGCAAAAAAATTTTGTAAATATTAGCAACTATTTTAGACGTTGCAAGACAAGAGGCAAAAGCAAGGGTATTACTCAAGAACTTGTATAACAAAGGAGAAAATACATTTTCATAAGAATTTTATTTATAAAATTCAAAATGTAATTCAGTAAAATTTTAATACAAGTCTATTAATAAAAAAATCTTTTTTGAGGGGATAGCGTTTAACTTATTACAGTTTCTATCATGAAATTTTTCTTTTCACCTTTTATTACTGACCAATTATGAGATTTTTGCATATTTTACATATTTCATCCTTGAAGATTCTTTTCACAAAATAGTGCTGCCAAATGCTACAACTCATGAGCATATGATTTTAATTAAGCATAGTAATTGCTTGAAAGGAACTTATAAAATTCTCTTAGATTCTTCTCTTGATATTTGCCTTTTAGAATGTCATTATGGAGTAGTCATTTCCAATTGAAAGTTAAGTGGAAACTCCTTGACTGCACAGTTAAATGGATTTTGAAATATGAACATGTCTTGCACTTAAATTTTAAAAATGCTGCTGGAACTGAGCTTATAAAATCTACCCTGCAAATTTGTCTGGAAATGTACTCTTTTTAATTTTTGACAGCACTGGAAGTATACAATGTTACTTGACTTGTGATCCAAACATTAGTTTTCATCAAAATAACATCACCATATTTGATGTTTCACAATAAGCATTGTTTTTCTCTGTAATGTTAGGATGAATTTATTAATAAACATTATCGAGTCACAGAAAGATCTAATTTCTAAAGTCGCTCATCAAATATAATAGAGTGGAAGGGCTCTCCCTTTCATGAAAAAAAATTTCAGTCTAAGCATAAAAAAAAACTTCCATAAAACGTATGCCAACTAAGCTATCAAAGTTTGGTTGTGTATATAAAATGTCATTCTGTTTCTATTTTCACCAAAAAAAAAAAAAAAAATCACAGAACTGATGATGTTGGCTCTACTGGTTCAAAAAAAGAGACGAGTGAAACTTTCTCCTCAGAGTACCTGAAGGTGAATGAACACTTAGCCATGAACTCCTTATATTTTCACAAGCTTTGTAAATTAGACTTAAGTACGACATTTTCTGATCCATTGCTATCATATCCATTTGTATCACATTGCATCAGATTCCACTTCAGGTTGCACTGATACAGCATCTTAGTTTCATTGAATATGTTCTAACCTGAAGTCACTCCACAAACTTCATTCCAGTAAATTCCTCAGTTACTACAAAGTCTGATTGATTCCTCGGAGGAGCAATTGAGTAACTAACTCATTGCTAATATCTATTGTCTCATCAGAGAAAAGGAAAACCACTCAAAAACATTTGCCTTGTTTTTATTTTTTGCTTAATGTTGATTTACAACTCTGTATATGATTTATAAGTATCATCCACACTTCTACAAATGTATGTTATCACACCACACCCACCACCAAAGCCCCAACAATTCTCCGCTATAGACCCCTCTCCCTTATTCTTCCTCCCTCCCCTTCTGGTGGCCTCAGTTCTGCAGTCAGGTTTCCAGGGTTTGTTTTGTTTTTGTGTGTGCTCCTTGGTTTTGTTTTTTGTATTCCACATTTTAGTGCAATCATCTGTTATTGGTCTTTTACCCTTCTGAGTTATTTCACAATATAATCTTTAGTTCCATCCATGTTGTCATAAATGGTAAGATTTCATCTTTTTTTTAACAGCTGACTAGTATTCTGTCATGTATATCTTATTGGTGTATAACAATAGTTTCAGGCATATAACTTTATTCCCTGTATTGAGTAATGATTACCACAAATAAGTCTTGTTAACATCCATCAGATTATTCTTCTTAAGGAGGCACTAATTATCTATTAAAGTTGTATTGTACACCAAAATACAATACAAACATTTAAAAAAAAACAAAACACTTCACACCTAGGCTGAGTGAGTCAGAGAGTAATGATGGGTTTGGTATTGTCTCAGTATTTCTACTTAAAATACCCAAGATTAATACATTAACTATAATTAAAGAATTTGGGTCAGCTAAAACATTATTTAAACATTTTACTTATTAGAGAAAGAAACCCATGATCATTCTCAAATCTGGGTAAGGTGTCAACAACAGCCTTTCAAAAATCTGACCCCTCCTAAATTTGAGCCTCTGGATGGACTTTGTAAGAACTGTCTCAGTTTTTATTTCTTATGTGTGTTACTTAGGGCATCAGAGGCAACCCAGGAAGAACAGGACCGGATGGGTCCCCAGGCCCTCGAGGAGCAAAAGGTTCATCAGGCCTGCAGGGAAGCCCAGGAGCTCTAGGCCCAAAGGTACTTGAATGTTTTGTCATGGATGAGCAGAAGTGATGATCCTTACTGCCCCTAAGTTCTTTGGCTCAATCACAGGTTGGTAAGATTAATAGCTGTTAATAAGATTTCAATTGTGAAAAGACAAGGGGAAAAAAGAAAAGTATGTGGCCTGATGCAGCTAGCTCCAGACCCGCAGCCAGCCATATAAAGCATCACCTCCAGGAATGATGTTTTAAAAAAGGTTCTTTGATTCATTTTGGTTCTGCTTCCCTCTCTGGCATCATCTTCTCCAAAACAGAGAAATTTTATTTGTTCTAAATATATACTTTCTCAGACACACTTCCTATTCATCTAACTCTAAATTTAAATAACCAATTAATCTGCAAAGAGGAGATTATTTCTTAGAATCAAAATGACAGTAATTAAGTTTTGTATTAACATTCATTACATGCAGTGTTTCTGCATGTCAATGGACTTTCCAAACAAAACTGTTATAAATTTCTCTCTGTAGCATTGACTAGAGACAATCTAGAGATTGGTAAAACATTTAAAGCTATTTCATAAAAACCTAGCATGAAAATATGGCACCCTTATCTATATTACCTCTTAATCAATTTGCATAGTTTCACTTCTAAAGAATGTTCAAGTTTTCTGACCCAAATTGTTTATAATTTGAGCCTTCTGTTAATGTTTATACCATCAATATCCCTTTCCACTAAAACTCAGGGTAGCTGAGTAAATGCTAAAACTAAAGAAACAAAAAGATCCCTGCCACTTTCATCTGAATCTGTAGTGAAATAATCCTTATTTGTCAAATGTGAAAGCTATATCTTTGTCTAATATACTGAAAGATAATTTGATAATCTTAAAGAATCTTTGGTCAAAGTCTACCTAAAATAAATTTTCTTTAACACATCTCTAAGCTCCATGTAATTCCCAAGTTTAAGAAGTAATGTGAACAATGTTGCAATTCTAATTTCAGACACAAAATAAATTTAATTTAAAAAACAAGACTTAATATTTAAAAATAATGGTGATTAAGTATATCTATAAAGTGAACTTTTAGGAGATAAAGGGAGTTTATATCAAAGGAGTCGTGGGATACTAGTGATAGGAATTTTTGAATGAGAGAAATTAAAAGATAAGCATGACAAAAGCAAGGGTTCACACATCAGAAAACTTCTCTCTTTCCGGAACCAGGTGGCTGAAACTTCTCTCTATGATATGGAAAACACAGAATAATAACAAGTCAACCAAAATGCCAGTTACACACACACACACACCCCCCCCCACCCCACCCCACCCCCCATCACTATTCTCTGTATAGCCCATTAGTCTCCTCTTTCCACATTTACAGACACAATCTCTGGAATTTCTTTTCCCTAATTCTCTATTCTTGTTCAATATAATCAAATATTACTTAAGTGGTAAATAGTATTGGAGAGAATGAGCATGGAGAATTTCATAGTACCTGTACTCTCCCTAAAGATGGAGTTGTATTTGGGTTTAACTTAAAAGCCAACATTTCTGGAGATCCTGAAGTTAACATCACCTTTCTTTTTTTGTCCATAGGGTGAACAAGGGTTACCTGGTCAACCTGGAATTCAAGGAAAAAGAGGTCACAGAGGAGCACAAGGAGATCAAGGACCATGTGGAGAGCCTGGCCTGAAAGGACAGCCTGTATGTGCCAACACAGAAATCCACTAAACACTTATTCCAGGACCAGCCCACCATGGCACAGTAATGATAATTGTATCTATTCATGTTGCAGGGGGAACATGGTGTTCAAGGTCTGACAGGTTTCCAAGGATTCCCAGGCCCCAAAGTATGTTTACTTATTTTCTGCTAGTCTTCTACCTATATAAAAAAGAAAATGTTGAAATACCAATATTTATCTCTGACTTTAGCTTTTTGTTCAATCTGCAAAGATTCATTTGGTATAGTTATATATGCATATACATATTCGAGTTTTGAGTGTGATCATTTTAAAAACATAGGTAACTATTTCTCTAGCAAGTATACTTTATAGTTTGCTTTTGTTCCTTCTCATCCACTTCTTTTTTTTTTAAAGACAGAAGCTTATTTATTTTTAAAGATTTATTTATGCATACAAGAACTGGGGTACAGGTCAGAGGGGCGGGGGATGTGTGTGAGAGGATTCACCAGAGAGAGAGAGTGGGGAACAGAGCAGGTGGTTCTACTGAAATACACTGCTGAGGGGAGCAGCGGACAAGACAGGAGAGGTCTGTCATGCCATATGGGTATCTCCCTGACTGGGGGATTGAACTCGTGCTGCAGAGGCTGTGGATAGCTTCACAGTGCTGTGCTTAACCCCCGTGCCACCAGAGAACCCTTCATCCATTTTCTCAAATGTTTTATCACAAAAATTACAAGCCATTCTTCACAGTTGAGAGAATGAGTGAACTCTACCTAGATTTTACCACTAATATTTTACTCTACTTGCTCTATTATGTGCCATCTATCCATTTCTCTCTTCTTGCAATCCAGTTTTGGTGTATTTCAAAAGTTTAAAGACCCTACAAAATATTTCAGCATGCACATCATAAACTATCACATTCCAGTTTTTAAAGAGCCAATTTTTAATAGATAATTACAAGGCTTTTTCATCTGTAAAATGTTCATATCGAACTAAAGATTTCAGCTCTTTATTTTTATTTCTAGGGTCCTGAAGGAGATGCTGGCATTGTTGGAATATCAGGTCCTAAAGGTCCTATAGGACAGAGAGTAAGTATAAAGTCATTTTGCCTGCCCAGCATTTGTGATTCCTTGCCAGTTGTAGGAGTTAAGGTTAAGAGCTCTAAAATTAATACACTCCAAATTAATGACTTACTAAAATGACTTTTAAGGTACAAATTACTAGAGCACATGCAGAAGTCCTCAAACTTTTTCAATTATATGACTCATCTGAGCAAAAGACCACCCATATTTCCCAGTTCTTACTTTTAAAAAATCATCAGAATTAATGTGAGTACTACTTAATGTATTTATTAACATGCACCAGGAACAAAAAAACAGAAAGCAGATTTATAAGTATTAATGCAACCAGAGACCACCCCCGGGTACCACCTGGAAGAGGCTTGCCTATGACCTGAGTTCCTGAGACCACACTTTGAAAAATATTTCCTGATAGCTATGTTTCCCCAGCTCAGGGGTAGGTATCCCCAGAGAGGGATCAGGAACCTGCTTAAAGAGTTGCAAAATACAAGGACTGAAGAACTCCTTAGCTGTTTAGTGCCTGGAATTGCAACTGTACAAAATATGACTAGGATACATACGCTACCAAAAATTGCTAGTTATTGTATTTGTTTATTGTTGTATATTGTTCATTGATTTTTTGCTTTTTATTAACTATAGTTCTCTAATTTTTAAAATGGCCTATAAAACTGAAAATGATTTAAAAAGCACCTATAAAACATCAAACAGTAGTTTGACTATAGTAGCAGCACCTCTGTGACTAACAGTCACTTCTGTAGAGAAAGCAGGGAAAAGACGGCAAATCAGATATAGGAGGAAGAAGCCTTAAAGACCTTTGCAACAGAAAACCAGTGTCTTTTTCAAAATAGTAACTGAAAAATGAAAAATTTGAAATCCTATACCCCTCACCTATCTCCACAATAAATTTTTTTAAGGAATACAAAGAGCAGTGTTGTCATGGAAAAAGTTTAAAGACCCTTCTCAACATTTCTTCAGGTGCAAATTTATTAGTTATTTTTATGATTTTTGAAGAACCATGGAAAGTTGGGGGTTTTATATAAAATTTTCAATTCTTGATAATCCACAGGTGGGTTATATATTACTAGGTTTCTCTATAGTAAATATTGCTTTTAAGTTCTTATATATATTAAGTTCCCTACTAATTAAATCCATTCATTCTAGTTTTATTAAATTCTCAACTAATTAAATACTTTCTTGATATTGTCAAAGGAAGTTTGGCCACCTGCCTAGCATCTGTCCTAAGCAGAGTCTTACCAGGTACTGGGGTTCTGGAGGCCAGGATCTAAGCCTATATAGGTTTCCCTTGCTCTACAAGTCGAGAGAGTAGAGGTCCTATGAAAACTTTCTTAAGTTGAAATGATAAAAAGAAGCAGTTACCATTAAATTATATGGAAAATTTTTGAGCCTTCCCCGACCCAAAAGATAATCTACCAAATCATCCAATATAACACATCAAACCTAAGACAACACTAACATCCAGTAAAAGTGAGACTGATGTGACATATACATCCTGTATCAAGTATTTCCCAGAGAAGGAGCTTGACAGTGCCACTCTAGCTGCTTGGGGTGTAACAGCTGCAAAACAAACACTGATTATCTATTTTTGCTTTCCACCTTTTGTTAAAATGAAAATCCTCTTCAGATTTCTTTCAGTTAGTGAAAACAGGTACTAATGTAAGTCTTTCACAAAAGACAAATGGCATAGGCAAACTTTTGAAAAGTGGAAGATTCCTGTATTGCTTTGCAATTCCAAAAATCTTACCAGTTCACCCATAGCTCATAAATACTAATTTTTAAGTGCAGATAATCCTTTATTAAGTCACTATAGAGATAAATGAAAAGTTTAGATATTTAGCAAAAGACTGTTATGTAGCAGGAACTTGTATCCAGTTCGTGACCTTTGTGTAATTTAATCCTAATATAAAAATCCTGTGAGAGATTTTGTAATCTCCATTTTTCAGATGGGGAAACTAAGTCTCTGAAAGGTAATCTAGTCAAGGCTATAGATAGTTAATATATAGGAAAATCATAATCTGTATCCACATCTGTTTGACCAAGTAATATGTTAGAAGGTTACTTTTTTAATTGCATAACAAGAATGTAGAATGATATTAAGTAGACCAGTATCTTGTTCTTGCTCAATAGTCAATAAATATGTAATGAAAACTATATTAAATCACTTGAAATATGAAATATGAATTACTAGTTTCCATTGCAAAGCTGTATTTATGTAAGTAACTGGTACCATTCATTAAAATTATGGCACCTCATTTTTGGACACATTTAGATAAACAGATAATTTTTTGCTCTTTTGGTCTACTTTTTCTAGAGGCCACTTTTAATTCCATTTTTTAAACTAATGATCATTTCAGTCAGTGATATTATAGGCAGGTTTATTAGCTTAAAGTTTTGTGACTTTTATTCAGTGATAAACCAGTCTAGAAGATATGTTTAAGAAAAATCTAATCTCTTGATTTAATTGTGGATCTTTGGGAATTGGATATCATATTTGTAAATTATTCTTTAAGCTGGTCTTTTTGTTTAAAATTGATTCCATTGGTTTACTTTTAGAGTATTAGAAAATTTCTTTCTAGACCAACTTAATGTTAAAATTTGTTGCTGGATTGCATCACATTATCTTGTTTGATAGTTTTTGCTAGACATCAGTAGACATTGGAAAAAGAGAAAGCCTCCTAGATATCTACATTTATGTACTCCATATTAAGTGTGAATCAGAAAGACTGAAATTTGCATCCAGTGTGAGTAGATGTTGGGGGGAATAAACCTAAAACAAGTATTTTGTATTCATTATGAAATGATAGTCTTCATACTTAGTTTGGGAGGTTGTTGTCATATTCATAGTTTTCATATGTAATTCTCAAATTGCTCCATATGATAGAGCACATATGATGCCCTCTGATTCTCTCCTATACATTCTGGTTCCTATACTTTCTTTCTCCCCTATACTTTTTTCAAGATGCGTGTCACTCAGGCATCTATCTGCTTCTTCAACATCTTTAAAGAAATATATTCAAAATTTTGGTCATCTTTCTATGTAGTCTTTTTCAATAAAGTAACTCCATTTGTTACATAATTATACACATATGAAATGGCATGATTGAAGTTAACACCATATAAAAATTGTAACGCTAATTTATCATTTTGTTAGAAATTATATAGATAGAAGATTCCAGGTAAGAAACTATAATAATATGCAGAATTGTGTCACGGACTGCAAATCAAAATTACTGTGCTTTCTACTAATACTAAAAGAGTGTGTAATAAAAACTGGCATTATGTGGACATGGGCTGTTTTACCATTGGATAAGAAATTTTATACTGGCAATGAAACTCCCTATTTTTCTTTTGCCCCAACAGGGAAGCACTGGCCCCCTCGGCAAAGAAGGTATAATAGGCCCAACAGGTAGAACTGTAAGTTTGTCACAATTCAGGTCCTTTTTTTCTTTTTCATATTCCTCCCTCCAGCCCCCTTTAATCCTATTTGTAGCTAATCCACAAAGAAATTATCTTGGATATTTGAGATGCAAAGGGCAAGTATAGATGTGTATTTTCTTCTGGAAGCTGATTCCTTAAAACTTACTGATCGTGTGGTCAGGAGGAAGGTATATATAGTGATGCAGACATTTAAAACTTGGGTTGAGAAAGGAAAATAGAACTGGTACAGGGGAGAAAAGGTTGAGAATCACATGCACAGAAGTGATCTCTATAACAAAAAGAATCAATTTTCTGAAAAGAGAAAGTATAACACAAGGAGTCAGATAGTTCAGATTTGAGTCTACAAGTGCCACTTTACATGAAAGAAAGTACTAGTCGGTGGTAACAGCAGGGAAACCAGAAAAATACAAGGTTACAATAGATGAGTTCCAAGAAAGGATTAGTCAACAGTGATCTTTAAGAAACTATGTTGCAGTAGAATATAGAATACACATTGCAATGAAGAAGAAATTAGATAAAATATTTAATAATAACTTCACAAATTCTTTCAGAAAATTTTCAGGAAAAATATTTTCATATAACTCATGAAAAAACAGATGAAGTTCACAGTTACTCAAGATGACTCAACTAGTGGTTGCACAGCTGATGTTCTCACATCAAGGCCTCTTATTCAGGCGTGACCATTTCATGCATCATCATGGAACGCTTAAGAATTAGTTGTATCACACCTGAAAGGAGACATCAAACATTGTATAAAAATGAAAAACAATGTAAAAATAAAAAAGAATTAAAGAATTAGTTGTATCTACTTTGCCTGACTTGTAGTGTTTCATGATGCTAGGTGGGTGAAATCTGATACAATGAAGAGTATATAATAGGATACCAATATTCTAAAATCTGATTAATTGCCCCAGACATATGTGTGTATACACATATGTGTGGTGTGTGTCAACATTTGATTAGAAAAATGTATGCAGAGATATGTACTAGATCATTAATACTGGGTTAGCGGTAGGGAGGAGATTTAAAAAAGTTCTGCAAAAAAAACTTAATCAGTTTTTTAAGTTAATATCCAACTTTAAAATGGGCGAAGGACATGGTAGGAAATGCAAAAACAGTAATATAAGTGGTCAATAGTGACTTTATATTTTTAGCTTGTAAAATTAATAGAGTGATAGTGCATGACATGTATCAAAAGAATTATACACTTCCCTAGATTGTAGGTATGTGTATATGATTTTAAACTTTCTGGAGGACAATATCAAAAATTTAGAGCCCAAGGATATTTATCACAGTGTTATGAATAGTGTTTATAATATCAGACTATGCATTCTCTTCAACTGCACATGAAACATTCTCTGAAATAAACCATATCTTGGACCACAAAACAAATTTTGCTTAACTTAAAAGAATTGAAGTCATATAAGGTCTTGTTCTCTGGCCATGATGGAATTAAACTAAAAATCAAAAACCTAGAAAGACAATAATAAAATATTCAAACACTTGGAAATTAAACCACACATTTCTAAATAATACACAGACCAAAGAAGATGTCTCAAAGAAGGGTAGAAAATATTTTGAATTGAATGAAAATATATGGAACATATCAAAATTTGTGGAATATAGCTCAGAAGGAAAAATAGAAACAAAAGAGGAAATCATCTCAGAAACAAGGTCTTTGGAGGCTAAGAGAAATAATTATTAGAAGAATTTTAACCTTTTCTAGACTACCTTGTTTTATATTTGATTTTCAGGTCAGCTGTTTGACTTAATGGAATGACTAAGTAGCTTATTTTCCCTGTCTCACTTTACATGAAGATGTGGATAGTGAAATAGTGTGATGAATCAATAGTTTTTGTTTTGCTTTGCTTTACTTAGGAAAAGAAAAATGAAATATATGCGAATTCACTAAATCTTGCTGGATAGAAAAAATAATATAAATTGTCATGTTTCTTTATACAGTCTCAAATACATTTTATAAATATCAGTAATGCTAAACTAACTTTTTTTACTTTTAGGGACCAAGAGGTGAAAGGGGCTTCAGAGGTGAAACTGTAAGTCTAACTAAATTTGTGGTTAAAGTATCACTTGTCATTAGGTTATAAGGTCTATGAAAATAAGGACCATGTTTGATTTGTTCATTATTATGTCTCTGATACTGTGGAATGAAAATAAAATTATAGATTTTAATAAGTAGAACCAATTCTCATAGCATATCATAGTGAAACCTGATAAGTCCTAAGCATGTTTAAGAACCCGCCAGTCACACTTTTTCCAGATTGCTGTGTGAAATGGAATATTTGTCTTGTAAGGCATCAGGAAAGGAGGTGTAGGTTCCAGAACAAGAGCGGTGCCAGTTCATTTCAGGTATATAACCCTAAGTACAGTCTGCGTGGAAGAGGACTACAAAGCAGGAGCAATCGTTAGTTGTGTATTTCAGGCAGTCAGAAACAATGACGCAAGGATGGACAAAGTGTACACAGCAATTTCAGGACCTAAATGGATTATACTGACACTGTTTCCCACATATCTGATGCCAGTTCTTCTGAGTTAGAATGTATTTTGTAAAGGCATCACTTTCTGAGCAAATCATGCTGAATTTATTAAAGCAGCAACCATAAACTGGTAAGGCATGTAGTAAAATCAGGGGAGTGGAAACCAATTATAAAAGCCACATAAAAATAAATGTAAAGATAGTAGTAAAATCTAGATTGAAAAGTAATGAGATTACATGATGACACTGAAATTTCTGCATTTCACTATAGGGTATGTTTGGTCTCAAAATAAATAAGTTGCAATTACATTAATTAGCAGATGAAAGGAAATTATGTGGTTTCAGATCATGTATGAATCCAAAAGGAATTCTACATTTATCTTGAGAGAGTGAATCACTTTTTCTTAATAGTGTGTTAGCTAGAAGAATAAAAAAAAGTACCAATAAATGTTATAATGTTGGAATAATATATTGTTTCTCTTGGCTCTATTCTGTGTAGTTGTTTTATTAGGGTTATCCTGCCCTGTCTTGTTTGGTTTAAAAGTTTGATCATATTTGTGATGATCTAACTTGTTCTGGGTAGGCTGACATGAACACAGTAAAATCAGCAGTTAGAAATAATTTCCCCATTTCAATTCCTCCTTCAAAGTCAAAAATAGGATATATATTTTATACTGAACTATTAGTGAGATTTTGCAAATGTAATAAATATGGTAAGTGGGGTGAAATGTTAATTGTTTATTTTTGCAATTTTGATTCATAATGGACAGACTTGCACAGCCAAATTCACTCTGAGTCTCTGTATATTTAAAAGGTTATTTCCTACACAACATGTCCCTAACTTACCATGAAGCTTCTGAGGTACAAGTTATATACATTGTCTGCTTTAAATTGTAATCATAAACATGCAAACTAAGAAATGTCCTGCAGTCATGGTATTGGATTTCTCCATCCTTTTAAAGTTACCCAGTGCTATTTGTTCTAGTTATCACAGTATATTTAGGATCAACAATTTTATTAATAAAATATACTTAGTACAAATCAAACATGGCGTCAGTATTAAGTCAAACACGGCATCAATATTATTCAAAACTCAGCTGACAATAACTTTTGCCTTTCCATCTTACCATAATCTAACTGTGGCTCAATGTCATCTTAAAATTTAATTAACCATCAAGTAAGTTAAATTTTGAGCAGACATTTCAGTGATTACTTAATTGATTACAATTGTTTCATTTTGGAAAAACATCAACATAATTTTTCACATTAGTATATACATTTTAATTATTCTGCTTTCTAAATTAATACTAGTTAATCTTTTTTTAAAGATTTATTTATTTATTTATGCAAGATCTGGGGTACAGACCAGATGCATGGGAGGGTGAGAGGATTCACCAGAGACAGAGTGGGGGACAGAACAGGCAGACCGATGAAAATCACTGCTGAGGAAAGCAGTGAGCGAAACAGGAGAGGTCTGCCACACCATATGGGATTCTCCCCGGCCAGCCGGGATCGAACCCGCACTGCAGAAGCTGCAGACAGCAGCGGCGCTCAACCACCTGCGCCACCAGGAAGGCCCATTGGTTAATCTTAACATTATTCTTTCAGTAACAATTTTTGTACAACTGTGTACTAGGCACTATAGTTCTAGAAAACATAAAGCTTATTAAGATATTTTTAAGGGTGTAGAGGCTTTCCATTATGTTACATACTATGCGATCCAGCAGGAGTGGTTAGTTGAGCAGGAAAGAGGCAGCATGGTAGATAAGCAAGGTGGATATTGAGTTTTTAAAAGGTGTTGGAATGGGAGTTAGATAGAAAACATAAGGAGGAGCATTCTTGGTCAGGGAACGGTCACTTGCAAGAGAATGCAGATGTGGAAACCATGAAAGCTTCCAAGTCTGCAAGTAATTGTTTATCCATGAAGTATAAGATGTATTAGAGATAGTAAGTGGAAATGAGGCCCAGACCTTAAAGAAACAGGGATGGGATACACATTTAATAATAACATATATTTTTGTATCTATTTGACTTGGATTTTCATTTAAGCTCTGCCCCTGATTTGCTGGTTAGCCAGTTCATTTCCTTAACTGTAAAAATGGAAATAAATCATACCATTGGCATACAGTGCCATACACAATTTGACACATAGTGAGTTCTCAGAAAATAGTAGCTATCACCATTAAGAAATTCATTCTCTATCCTCTAAGCAATAAAAAGTCACGTGATTTTAACTATATAATGACATGCCTAGATTTCCATTCTGCAAGTAAAAGGTAGTTAGCATAGTGAAGAGAATAAAGTCAGGAAGTCAGATTAGGAATCTAAGCAAAACAAGATGTCTTAGTTTGGGCATCTAAAACACATTGCCATTGATCAGGTGGCTTAATCAACAAACATTTATTTCCACAGTTCTAGAGACTGGGAAGTCCAACATCAAGGTGCTGGTAGATTTGATATATAATGAGGACCTATAAGGGATCTTTCCCTGATTTGCAGAGGCCCATCTTGGTGATAACCTCACATGGTGGAGAAAGAGATTATCACTCTTATGACTTTTTTTCAAGGGTACTACCACTCATGAGGGCTCAACCCTTGTGATCTAATTATTTCCCAAAAGTCTTACCTCTAAATATGCTCACATTGTAGAGTAGTTCTTCAATATATGAATTTGTTTGGGGTATGAATGGGGGACACAAACATTCAGGCCATAGTACATGATTAGCCCTCAACTAAGAGAGTTGCTATGATAGAAAAGTGTTTTGGATAAGTTTGGAGATGAAATCAATAGTAGTAACCAACTTATAGGTGAATTTTGAAATAAAAGAAGAGGTGTCTAAGAATACCATCTGTGATAGATGGACAGCAGGTAGAAATAACAGAGAATACATCCAGGGACAGTTTTAATATTTTAAATGTTACATTTATATTTAAATGAATAATTCAGTCTCTAGTAATAATAGCAATAAAACTTAAATATCCAGCTCATTCATGAATGTGGGTTATAGCTAAGTACAAGAGCATATAGCTTCAAAATACTAAAACAGCTTTGAGTATTGTCATTTACCTCACACAAAAAGGTGATGGTAGAAGTTAAATTTTAGTTTTTTTGCTTACATCAAATCAAAAGAATACTATGTTCATATTGTGTTTTTTTTCCATTTCTTTCAGGGTCCCCAAGGACCAAGAGGTCAACCGGGGCCTCCAGTGAGTTTATTTACATTTATATCTGTTTACTGTTGATGCTTATAAAACTTAATTGTTTATCTACTAAACAAATACTTTTTAAAATTTATTATGTTATAGGGTCCACCTGGAGCACCGGGTCCAAGAGTAAGTTTTATTTGATGTTGGTATATCATATTGATTTGTAAATTTCTCCTATTAACTCCATTTTAAAAGGTGTACCTCAGGAACTGTTCCTTTTGCTAGTCTGATATAGAGTCAGCCCAAGCATGTTAATTTGAAATCCAAATTTCAGACGTCTTATCTATAAAATAAGGATGGAATGGCTTGGGTAGATTTGAGCTTTAAATAAGAAGTAAAGCCCTCAGAACAGTACCTGACATAAGAAACCTTCAAAAAATACTCCCTCCTAATTTCTTCCTACTTTTGGGTCCTAGTTCTTCTTTTTTATTGTTCTTTATTGCCAACCAAAGTTATCCACTTCTTAGGCTTTACATGCATAATCTTCAATTGCTAGTGGCTGTAAAAACCCTCAAGTTTTTCATGTGTTTGCTTGCTATGAAACTATTACAATCCAAAATTTGCTACCCTTGTCTTGTAGGTAACACTTCTGTTGCTTCACTGTCAGCTATTATCCCCAGGTCTCTGATTTTCTAAGTTTGGTCTTCATTTGCCTTCCTACAAGATGTCTTCTTCCATCCCAACCTCACCCATACCCTAATCCTACAGTGCTCTGGTCAAGTACAATGGTCCTTGGCAGAGTTCCTGCAATAAGGGAGACTATAGGTTCCACAGTCTCAAACAATGGCCAGTTCTATGCCTTCCAAGTCTTGCTGATTTCCACACACTACTCTGGTATCTCTAACAGCTATAGTCGGTAGATCAGTGTGATCAACTCTCAGCAGGCTGGGAATGTTTTAATCCCCTGTCTTTTTCACTGGGGCAAGAAATGTTTCAAGTGAAATGTCCCACATAATACTATTGTCTTGAAAATGGGAGACTTACCTCTCTATGCTTTTTTAAATTGCTCCCCCTTTCTGACCAACTGACTGATGGGGCTGAACTCCTTGTGTGAACCTCAGTGGGAATGTCTTTAAGTCATCAAATTACTCTCCACTTCTCTATTCTCCTTTTCCCCCTGCATTCCCATAATGTGTGGGTAAAAGTACCCTCATCTGTTGCCTTCCCACCTTAAAATGACTTTGATGTGTCGTTGCTGCCTTCCCAAGAAATAATAATTTCTAAAAACCACACATCATTTGGAAATAGAAGTCTTTAGTGAAAATTTTCACATTGAAGTTCCAGACTTTGTGGCATTATGTCCCTATCACACTTGGGAGATGTTTGCACATAGGTTCCTGTACACCCAAATGAAGTAGGACACTTGAAAGGTTTTTGGTTTAAGCAAAATATGGATAAGAATATATATTTTAAAGAATTATTGGGAGATTAAATGAGAAAATACAGGAGCTTAGCACATTATAGGTGCTCAAAATGTTAGTCTGTGTTTCCTTCTTTTCTCCTTCCCTTTCTTCCTTTTGCTTGGTCAGTATGAAAGCCAATTGCCTTATTCTGTCTTTCTGGAATTTGCAGAGTCCTTTGTAGAAAATTAGCCATATAGCTTTGAGAAAAGGGTTCTGGAGCAGAATTTTAAATGTCAGTCAGAAAATAGCTACATTGTCTATGTACCTCATCTTATGATCATATCTTCTGTAAAACTTTTAATTCCATCCCCTCATCACACTGCAAGATAGAACTGATCACTTCCCCTGCTTCATTCATAGGCATTTATTTTCATGCCAGTTTCCTTCTGCTAGATTATGAGCTCTAGAGGTAGGGACTATTTTTTTAAGTCTATTTATATTAGCTATTTATTTTCCAATCAAGTCCTTAATAGTGCCTAGTAATGAATGAATGAACATGAAAAAGCAAGTCACGTCTCTAGAAAATTTTAGTAGGAATTCCCCAAGCTAGAAGACCTCACTTACATGGAGGCAGCCCTCTTACTAACTTTTGGTAATTATTTCAGACTGTTTGGATTCATTAGTCAGTGGACCATGAGACCAACTAAATGAGTTTCAAAATATACTGAGTGACTGTTTAATGTGCATGGATTTCCTTTTAGAGATAATGAAATGTTTTGAAAATAAGTAATGGGAATGGTTGCACAACCCAGTGGAGCTACCAAAATCAACTGAATTGGATGCTTTAAAGTGGAAAACCATTAACATGATAAATTTTATGTTATCTAAATTTACATAAATAAGCAAAAGTATATCACCACTGTAATACTAAATATGGTTTTGTCAAACTTTCAGTAACTAAGTTTGTGTTAACTGTGTCATAATGTAAAAATTTATTTCTTACTGTAGATCAAAATAAATTGAAAACTTATAATCTAATCCAAAGCCCTTTTTAAGACCTCTGAAAAAAAGTAATTTTCCTAACCAAATTCCTAAATAGAAGAGCTAAGAGGAAATGTTTCAGGAAAAAGGGATATATATTGGTGGCACATTTGAATATGAGGATATTATTGGGGTGATGACCAGACCTCAGTGTACATGCTAAGATGTACAGGAACTAACAAAGAAATCTACTACAGGATGTCAAAGGTAACTGAAAATGCTAGTTGGAATAAAGAGAAGAACAAGATGGGTATGTGATCTGCCGTGTAGAATGGGGTGGAAACAATAATCGTTAATAAAATCACTAAATGAGGGCCTCTCTGGTGGCGCAGGAATTAAAGATGTAGTTATCAAGCTATCACCAGCCACTGCAGCATGAGTTCAATCTCCGGCCAGGGAGCAACCCTGGCCGGAGCAACCTCATGATGCAGCAGACTTCTCCTGTCTCACCCACTGCTCACCTCAGCAGTGTATTTCAGTAGATCTGCCTCTTCTGCTCCCCACTGTCTCTGGTGAATCCTCTCACCCTACCACACCTCTGGCCTCCACCCCAGTTCTTGTATGCATAAAGAAATCTTTAAAAAAAAATCACTTAATGAGAAGGGATTTTCAACTGATTTATTTAACTAATTGGTTGACAGTGAAGCCTGAATTTGTGGATTGAGAAGTGATAGTTACCAGTATAACCCTGGATCCCTAAAACAAGCAATTGCTCTACCATGAAGAGGTCCATAACATGAACTTAGTTTTTATTCCATCAATATTTTCATCATCCAGTGATTTTAAGATTTCAGATGCCTGGAAAATAACACTGCTCAAAATACTGGTATGTCTAGACTAGCTCTACATTTCACTTAAATGAGTTGGGAGAGAACTATGAGGATTATATTCCCCAGATTCAATAATTCTTTCTAATTTCACTCAGTAGTCCCACCATTCTGATTATTCCTTATTCTCTCTTCATGTTTATATAAACCTGAAGTAATTTTCATGTGAGAATATGTTCTCTCTACATGGATTCCTGCACTGCAACTAATAAGAGTTTTAAACTCAGTTGTGGGCACTTAGATGCTGCTGAGTAACTTCCCAGCACCAGGCTGCTTTTGGTAGATCCACTACATTGTGCAACCAACCATTCCTACTGGTTAGTTTCAAAACATTTTCATCCCCTCTGAAAAGCAACTCCTGTGCATCAGTCATTGTCTGTATATTTTGAAACTCACACAATTGGTCTCATTTAATGATTTTAATGATTATTGTTTCTTTTTATTTTATTAATTTTTTATATTTTTTACATTTTTCAGTTTTGCACAATATATGCATTTTCATCTTGGTTATAGTCCCCACACAATTCCCACCCCCTCTTGTTTTGATCCTACTCCCTCCTCTCCCCCTGCACCCCTATGTTTATAGCTATGGAAACAACCCAAATGCCCCAAAATAGATGATTATTGTTTCTTAATACAATCCCCTGGGCCTGCCTCAGGGGAAAATACTAATTGGGGAAAATAATAAATTCAGCTAATTGGATGCCTATTATGTGCTAGGGATGAACTAGGTTTTTGGAATACATTGGTATTAGAGGAATATGGATATTGCCAAGAAAATTCATGAGTGTTCAAGCTTTATGCATTTTTTTCTAATACCTGTTCAAAAAAATCCTTTATTCATTGAGTTGACATTTGCAGTGATGGTGGTTAAAGTTTCTGGTACCTCAGTGTGAATCAATTACCAAATCCTACACTAAAATCAATGAAAAGTCATTATATTCTTTACTACCCCATACTCGCAGAAAGTAAGACAAGGTCATGTTACTTAAGAATATCCTGCAATTTATTCACTCCTCCAGTCCTCTGTTAATGGTCATTAAAGTTGTTGCCAATCCTTTCATAATACAGAGTATGCATGTTTTGTTTGTATGCATATCATTTTATAGAATATCTGGAGGATCAATTCCTAGAACTGGGAATTCCTTGAACTGCAGCCATCACCTCCACTCATGCCTTCTTTCATCCTCCAGTATTTAAACTCCATATCCATTAAGCATAATTCCCCATTACACTCTCCCCAGTTCCTGCAGACAGCATTCTACTTTCTATTTTGACTTCTCAGATGCCTTAAAATTGTGGAGTCATATAGTATTTGTCCTTTTTTGACCAATTTATTTCATTTAGCATAATGTCTTCAAGATTCATCCATGTTGTAGCATATATTAGAATCCCTTTCTGTTTTAAGACTGAATAATATTCCATTGTATGTCTATAACATGTTTGGTTTATCCAGATGAACATTTAGATTGCTTCTACCTTTTAGCTATTGTGAATAATAATACTATAAACATAAGTGTACAAATATCTGTTTGAGTTCCCTGCTTTTAATACTTTTTTGGTACATATCCATATGGTACTTTCATGTTTAATATTTTTGAAGAACTGCTATACCATCTTCCATAGCAGGGCATCATTTAACATTCCCACTAACAATGCAGAAGATTCTAATTTCACCATATCCTTGTGAACACTTATTACATTTTGGTGTGTTTTTTGTTTTTTTTTTGGTTTTTTTTTTGTTTTAGAAATATTACGATGTGAATTTTTTTTAAGATTTATTTATTTATTTATACTAGCACTGGGTACAGTCAAAAGCGTGGGAGGGTGAGAGAATTCACCAGAGCCAGAGTGAGGAGCAGAACAGGCTGCAGGAGAGGTCTGCGCGCCATGTGGGACCCTCCCCTGGCGGCCAGGGATGGAAGCGGTGCTGCAGAGGCTGTGGGCAGCTTCGCAGCCCAGCGCTCAGCCGCTGCGCCATTGAGGAGGCACGGTTTTTTTTTTTTTTTTTAATAACATTCATCCTAATGGATGTCAAGTGGTGTCTATATAACTCTTTTTGATTTGCTTTTTCCCTAATGATTGTATGATTTTGATGTTGAATATATTTTTCATATGTTTATTAGCTTATATACCTTCTATGACAGGTAGCTATTCAAATATCTTCTTTGGAAAAATGTCTGGCTTTTATCAAATTTGGGATATTCTCAGCCTTTATTTCTTGAAATAGCCTTTCTGTTCCTTTTTCTCTCTCTATCTGAGACTTCTATTATGCATATGTTGGTATATTTTATAGTATCTCATACTTTTTTGACTATATAATCTCAATAAACCTATTCTCAAGTTTACAGATTCTTCTGCCTACTGAAATCTGCTGAGCCTCTCTAGCAAATTTTCATTTCAATTATTATGGTATCTTTCAATGACAGAATTTATATTTGCTTCTTTTCCATAATTTCTTTCTCTCTATTGGTATTCTTTATTTAGTAAGATATCTTTTGTATACTTTCCTTTTGTTCCTAGGCATGGTTTTCTTTAGCTTTTTTTAATATAACTAAAATACCCCACTAAAGTCTTTGTCTACTAAGTCTCACATCTGGACTTCTTCAGGGTCAGTTTTTATTAATTGCTTCCTCCCCCCCCCCTTATATATGGGCTATATTTCAATGTTCTTTTGTATACTTTACAATTTTTATTGAAAATTGGACATTTTAAATAATATTATATGGTACCTCTCAAAATCAAATTCTGCCCTTCCCCTTGCTACTCATTGGTATAGTTGTTTGCTTAGTGACTTTTCTGAATTTTATAGTCTGTACTCATTGCTATGTCTGACCAATAAAGTCTTTACTCAGCAGACATATTCCCTTAAATGTCAGAATCAGTGAGTCTCCTAATTGCTGCCACAGGTCCTTAGGTGTATGTTGAAACACCCCCTCACTCTTCAGCCAGGCATTTGTCTACTGTACTTCTCCTTCACTTCCTGCTTTCACAAAGCCTGGAGGTTAGCCAGGGGATAGCTTAGTCTTCTCCAGTTTCTCATGAGTATGGGCCTACACGTAAATTTTTAGATTCCCAGGAGCGTCTCAACTTATCAAAGTCTCTATGGACATCATATTGTTCAGTTTTTCCTTGTAAGCTTTTTGTTAGCCTATTGTTTGTCCTAACAATTTTTCACTTCTTCAGGCAGCCACAAAATTAAACAATTCTCTCTAAATATTTTTGAAAAGTGCTCTTGTGTTAAAGTCTTCTTTAACTGAATGTGCTCTGAGTCACATAAAATAAAGATAGCCATGCAAGTGATGTTTTCTAGAGAACTACCAGACAGGTCAAATAATTATAATTCCTGGAAATGAGGCTTCAAACACCTCCAATCCCATTCTGTTCCCTCCTGTGGTTTCCAGAGTTCTTGTTTTCACTGTGATTATGTTAGATTTCAAGGCTTCCACAGAGTTAGAAATAGGGACATAGGGATAGAGCAAGTTAAAGCTTCATAATGTTTATGGCCTTTGTCAAGATTCAGCTATTTTTCTCAAATAAATACATGCATTCCAGATTGCTAAAGCATTTTATTAGTTTCCGTAATTCTGAAAAACTTCATTCTGACATTTTTTCCAGTTTCCTCATTGCTTTTATAGATGAAAGGATTATGGGAAGGCATTACACCACTATTTTTGTTGTCTTCTAATTCTCTAATCTTGAGTACACATCATTTAATAATCTGTGTGATGAAATGGAAGAACATATAAAACACTTCTGACTGAAGTACTCAAATAAAAGCACTTTGAAATTGTTTGAGTTAAAGTCTAAACTTACTGCTCTTTTTCATGGAATACCAGTTACTATTTCACAGACTAACAATGTTATTTAGACATCAAACAGAAGTTTTCTTAAAAACAAGTGATCCTGGCATTTCAAAGAAAACAGTTGGCAGAATGTGATGCCATTAATACATTTCAAATTTTCAAGCAAAAATAAGAATTAGGGAGATTTGTATCCACAACTATGAGTTTGACTACTTCTCATACTTAGGTTCTTCTGATGAGATTGTTAATGATGTTAATGAGTGTAATTTTTTGATATTAGAAAAATTTATCAGTATTTATAGACGCTATATTATTCCATGAGCCAATATTTTCCATGTTTAAGATAGACCCATCTATTTTAAAATATAAAAGAATACAAAAGAAAGTCCATAGATATGGTTTAAAATTGCATATTTCAATTATTCCTCAAGAAACCACTTGTTTTGGTATAATATCAAAGAAGAATACTCAGAATTATCTGAAAATAACTATTAATCATTTTTCAACTGCATATCTCTAAGACCAGATTGTCTACATTTACTTTAATTAAAATAACATCATAACATATTGGGATAGAAACAAATATGAGAATCTAGCTATTAAAAATGCACTCACTAATTTTTTATTCTGGAAAATACTTTTCATTAAAATATTTTTGCTTTTAGAAAATCTAAATAAGAGACCAGGAAAAAGATTAATTATAATAAAGTAAAAATCAAAATCAACAAGCAACTATAAACCAGAGACACACTAGGAGGGGAGGGGAGGAGGGATTAGAGTGAAAATAAGGGGGGTGGGAATTGTATGGGGAATATAACCAAGATGAAAATGCATACATTGTGCAAAAATGAAAAATGATGTATATTTTAAAAATGTATAATGATAAAATAACAAACCCCCCAAAATAAAGTTAATAAAACTCCCTTGCATTAATATCTTAATTTAAAAAAATATTTTTACTAACATATTTTTACTATCCCTCCCTGCTCCTCTGTTGAATGTCTCTGATTTATAGTTTGCCTGCTTATTTTGTCCTTTTTTTTTTTCTGATCCCTTGTATGGTATTCCTGTGTTCCTCCTATAAGTGAAACCATCCGATATTTTTTTTTTCCTTCTGACTTCACTGAGCATAATCCCTTCCAGCTCCATCCACAATGCTGCAAGTGACATACATTTACTTTTTTGATTGCTGAATAGTATCCCATGGTGTATATATACCACATCTTCTTGATTCAGTCATTGTTTTGAGGCACTTAGGTTGTTTCTATATTTTAGCTATTGTAAATAGTGCTGCAATTAACTTAGAAGTACAAGTTTCCTTTTGAACTAATGTTTTTATGAAGGACTTAAAATATTTTAAAATGCAAAAGGAGCCTAAATCTGAAGAGTTTGAGAACTGATATGGTAGGTTTCCTAAGATTAAAGCCCTAATCATAAACAGGCTGGAAAAAATAAATGTGACTTGTTTAGTACTTAATTTAGTCAGTTGTGTTTAAGGGCAATGTTTTGTGTGACCCTTCCGCAAAATATGCTCATTCACACAGGAATAATGGTCATAATTACTCAATCTGCACACAACCTTTTGTGCTAACCCTTCTGCTTCCTGAATAGGCCATGCTTCTTTATCTCATGGCCTTTGTGCAAGATTGTTACTTCTCCCTGGATAGCTGTTCTACTCCTTCTAGCAATTCTTTACCATCCAAATTCAAATGCCACTAGATCAAGGAAGGTTTCTATGATCTGTTCCTTCACAGCCTCTTATATTCTTCAAATCCGTTTGACACCACTGATTTCTCAGGTTAATATACTTTTCATTCATAGCACATATGGCAACATATAATTGTTTTTTTGAAAAAATTATAATAACAAGACTTAAGCTCCACAAGGTGAAGTTTCTTTTTGCTAACTATTTATGCCTCAACATGCATCACCGTGTTTGGCAGTATATCTCTACAGAATGACTCAATGGTTTTTAAATATGAAAACCACATGTTGAGGCAATGAAGTGTACATTTTATTGATTGTCCCATCATTTTAAATAGTTTTACAGATTACCAACTATGAGTTATGATAAATCTGATTAAAACAGTTTCCATTCTATAGATCTTCAAGTAAAAATATATCTTAGCAGTACAGTCATTCTGAAATAGTTTGATTTTTCTTACACAGATGCCACTTCTCAGAGCTTTCCCAGCTCATGTTTTTCAGTTCCAAGCTTTAAATAAAATGCTAAAATATTTTTACTAATGTTTATGCTGTCTTTTTCTTAAAAATAGCCTTAATTTAATGCAGGAGGAGATTGGATTCATGCCATATTATTCCTTTTGGGATTAATGGTACATTTTTTAACTTCAGAAATTTTTTTTAAGACCACAAAAATATCAGATTAAACGAATGTGGTGACTGCCTCAGGACAGTAGTATTTTATTCTATTTTCCTTCAAGAACGTTAACTGTTAAAAATTACTACAGCTATTTCTTCTTCACTTTACAATTTATTAACACAGGTGATCATATTTCATTCTTCTTCATTTGAGTTACTTTATGTTTGTATTTTCATGAAGCGACGATAAATAATTTTCGTTTGTGGGCTCCAGCCTTTAGTCCTGTTTTAATTATGAGACTTTTGAGACTTGGATGAAGGCAGCATATTATCCTTTCTGATAGCCAGCAATTTTTGCAGGATCTGTCATACCATTTGTAACCATAAAAGTTACAAAGCCCCTTCAGATAATAAGTCTAAGATACTTTAATGGCAGTACTTCCAGAATTTACAGACTTTACTCATAGTTGATCTTATTGCTGATCTCAAATGGTTTTGTTTTACACAGAAACAAATAGATATCAATGCTGCTATTCAAGCCTTGACTGACTCACATACTGCCCTACAGATGGAGGTAACATATCTGACATTATTTACATTGGCACTCTGAATACATAAATTAGGTAGAAGTTTGGGGGGGGGAAGGAAAATGTGACTATCTCAAAGATTATATTTGAAAGATTGAAAATAATAAGACCATTTTTAAGGATAAAGAAAGTGATTTTAATCATGCATAGGTTGTTTTTAAGGGAAACATCTAAAGCAGAAATATAATGTTATTAAATGATTTTTTAATAAAGAATGCAGAATTATTGCAGAAAATAGTTAAATGAAGTAATTGTAGCTGAAGATGAGAATGATCATCACTACACATTTTTCTTATTTAAACTGTCATCATTCAGAGTGTATTTAAAAACATCATACAGTAGGCAAAATAATTGTTTTGTGTCAGCTTGAATACCAAACTTGTATGTGTGAATTTAATCTCTTATTTAGGATCAAGAATACTTAAGCATGTACACATACTTATATATAAATGCAAAGTATTCTTTTCATCCTACTCCCAACTCCTTGCACACAGTGGGGATACATTTTTATTCTGCCTTGATCCTTAGGCAGTTCCTTAGGGTTGCATACTGATGATGGATACTTTGTGTTTTTTTACTAACGTGATTATTATGATGACTTGGCAGAGCTACCAGAATACTGAAGTGACTTTAATTGACCACAGTGCAGACATATTCAAAACCCTGAACTACCTTAGCAATTTATTGCATAGCATCAGGAATCCCCTTGGCACAAGAGATAACCCAGCACGGATCTGCAAAGATTTGCTTAACTGTGAACACAAAGTAGCAGATGGTAAGTTCTTGATGTCCTCAAACTTTGATGTATAATTTCATTTCATAATTTCAGTGCATTTGAGATTGCAGTGTATTCATTCCAAATCATAATAATTTCCATAAGACCCCAGCAGAAGTAATTTCAGTGTCATCAAAAACCAAAAACACTTAAGCAGTCATCTTCTGATAACAGAGTATCCTTTCTCAAAGCTTCATCTTGCAAAAGTCTCTATTATATAGACTTATTGAACACCAACTTTTCCCATGGAGCCCTAACTATGTCATTTGCTTAAACTCTGTAGCTGGAATATAACACATTCACCTTATAAGTCAAGATAGGAAGGGTTGATCTTTAGGTTGACAGACACGAGCAGCTGCTAGGACCACCTAACATGAAGTTGGCAACATGATGATATTACAGGGGGCCCCTGTACCACATTCCCTGAAATTAGTTTTAAACCAAATGAAATTTAATTTCCTCATTACAGAATCAGTGACTATGAAGATGGAGTACTTTGTCATTCTGGGAAGTTTCTCTTCCTTATACTAATAACCCCAAATCCATTAACCAGAATAGAACCATCAAGGAAAGGTTTTTAAAAAAAAAAGATTATTTATTTATACATACAAGAACTGGGGTGTAGACCAGAAGTATGAGGGAGTAAGAGGATTCACCAGAGAGAGTGGGGAGCAGAACAGGCAGATCTACTGAAATACACTGCTGAGGGGAGCAGTGGGAAAGACAGGAGAGGGCTGCTATGCCTTGTGGCTTGCTCCCTGACTGGCTTGTGATCAAACTCATGCTACAGTGGCTGGCCATAGCTTGATAGCTGTGTCTTTAACCCCTATATCACCAGGGAGCCCCAAGGAAAGGTTTTAAAGCAAGTGGAGCAGTTACCATTATTTGATAAGGAGGGGAGGTTCTGTCTGCCATAATATGTCATTTAATTTTAATTTCCATTGGGTCAATGGTCAGCTATACAGTGTTAGTAATTACCATTTTTTGCCAAAAACTCTAGTTTTAACAAAATGACACATTTTGATTTGAAAAAACAAACCTATTTTTTGTTATTCTGAAGGGTGAATAGTATTCTATATTTTATCCCTTTAAATTATATATATACATACAACACACATCACATCTTCTCCAAAGACATCTGCTTTCACTCTAGAAATGTGATGAAAGTGACATATTTATATTAATAAAATGTGTAACTTTTATAGATACTTTCTACCCTCGATTACAACAAAAAAAGATATTTACAATGTTACCTCAATAAAATTTTAAATTAATTATATAAATATGTAAATATTTACAGTTATAGGTGCCTCCAGTAACTCTTAATTTGATTCTTTCCCATATTGGAGGGCATAAAAATACAATTCTATGGATTTAAAGGAATAAAGACATTGGAAGACATACAAAGTCAGTGAACAAGATCTGCCTTCCTTGTAGGAGAATTAGGTAAGAGGAGTGGATTGCAAAGTATCAAAAAGACTTTCATGTCTAAAATTATTTTATCACTTGGTGATGCTAAAAGCTATAGAGAAACAGAAAACAGCAGGGAAGGGGAATGGAATAGAAAGTGGAGTTGGGGGGTTGAAGTTTTAAATAGAGTAGTTAGATAAGGCAACTCTGAGCAAGTGCCATTTAAACAATATTAGAAGGGGGCCTCCCCAGTGGCACAGCAGGTTGAGCACAGCTCTGTGAGGCTGTCTGCAGTCTCTGCAGCGTGGGTTTGATTCCTGGCTGGCCAGGGAGATTCCCACGTGGTACAGCAGACCTCTCCTGTCGCACCTGCTGCTTCCCTCACAGTGCTTTCGGTCTGTCCATCTGTTCTGCTCCCCACTTTGTCTCTGGTGAATCCTCTCACCCTCCCACGCCTCTGGCCTGTACCCCAGCTATTGTATAAATAAAAATTTTTATAAAAAATAAACAGTATCAGAAGGAGATAAGGGAACAAGCCACAGACAATCTAGGGAAAGAGCTTTCTGGGCAGAAAGAACAAATTCAAAGACTGTGGGCCTAAGAGCATACTTAACATGGTCTGGGAGAGAGTGCATAAGGAAGAGAGTGGTAAGAAATGATATAAAAAAGATGCCAAGAAACCAGACTCTCTAAGATATCAGAAAGCTCAAATTTACTCCATCTTTTACTATGCATAAGTTGGGATGCCTTTATAAGTTTTGGGGCAAATAAATGACTTGATTTGACTTAGATTTTTAAAATATTACATTGATGTTTTGCAAATATAATGAAGAAAACAAGGTGCAAAAATCCACTGAGATTACTGAAATAATCCAGGTAAGAGATGATGGGTTGGGCTAAAATTAGTAGCAGGAAAAATAAGAAATGGTCAAGTTTTTTAATATGTTTCAAAGTAGAACCAGCAGTTTTGTTGCTAATTTGGATCTCATTTATGAGAGGAATGGAATGATAATGGACAACTCTACTGATTTTGACTTAGGGACTAGAATGGTAGGGTTGCTGTTAATGGAGAAGCAAGTTTGAAGAAAATGGCAGTCCAATTTTGGATATATTTAGTGTGAGATGGTTGCTAATCATTCAAGTAAAAATGCAAAAAGTACAATAAGTTCTCAACATTAATAGGTCCTTAGAAACTGGCTTGAAATGACTTTAAATTACATGCAATACCAGTTGTAACCACAGGCTAGTTGATGAGTTAAATTCCAAAAACATATTTCTGGATCACAAAAATATGGGTCTGAATTAAGACCCAAAAAATTTCTAATATTAAACAATCAATTTTATTCATTCAATCATTTATTTTCTAACCCATATATTCCAGTTCAGGGTCAGCAGTGGCCATAGCCTATCCCAACAGCTCAGGGTACAAAGCAGGAACCAGCCCTGGACAGGTTGCCCTTCCACCACATGCACACACACCCACATACAGCCTGACCCGGGCAGTTGAGACACATCAGTTAACCTAGAGTGCACCTCAGCAGGGTGTGGGAGGAAACCCCAGTACTGGAGGATGCTCACACAGATGAGGAGAATGTGCAACTTCACACAAACAGTGGCCCTGGCCAGACCTCAGTTTTTTCTCATCTACACTGAAACAGACCAACCGCATCAAATGAAATGACATTTGAAGACCTGCTGTGGGTAGTTGACAATTCAAGAGAGAGATCCTGACTAGTGGTAAAAATGTTGAAGTCGGTCACATATAACTGGTGTCAAATGCCCTGATACTACATCATAAGTAGGTAAAGAAAGAGGTCTCCCCAGTGGCACAGCGGGTTCAGCACAGTGCTGTGAAGCTGTCCGCAGTCTCTGCAGCGCAGGTTCGATTCCCAGCCAGCCAGGGATATTCCCACATGGCGCGCAGACCTCTCCTGTCTCGCCCACTGCTCCCCTCAGCAGTGCTTTCCGTCCATCTGCCTGTCCTTCTCCCCACTCTGTCTCTGGTGAATCCTCTCACCCTCCTGCGCCTCTGGCCTGTACACCAGCTATTGTATAAATAAAAAAATAAATCTTTAAAAAAGAGAAGAACAGAAGTCTGAAAACTGCACTTTAGGGTGTCCAATATTTAGAGATTGGGGAGCTAAAAGGAAACTAGCAAAGAAAACTCAGAAGCAGCTATCACTGAAATAGGAAAAGTAATTAAGTGTGGAGAAAAATGTGTGCTTGAGGAGGAAGTGATCTGGGTCAAAGTGGCACTTGATTTCAGCATTGCTGTGACATCTCTACTTTTGTTATGGTTAAAAAAAAAAATTGTCCTGGGGATCAAAATTTAGAATGTATTTTGATCCCCAGGACAACTTCAGCTTTCAAAGGGCTCCTCTCTTAAAGAGAAACTGGCAGAAAGGATACATTCCTAAAGTTTGTAGCTTAGCTTTACATCATTCATAAAGGCTGCTGGGTGTAACAGGATAAAGACTTTTCATGACCTTCACAAGAACATCTTAGAGGAATAGTAGCAGTTGAAACTTTATCAGATTTTAAGAGAAATTGGTGGATCTAGAGTGTTTCCATACTCAGTAAGAAAATAGGTAATTTAAACTGCCTGGCTAATTTTTTTTTTTATTTTAAAGTTAAAGCATTGGATAGCTAACAAAGCAGTAAAGAACTTTCAAGTCAAGTTTTTTTTTTTTTTTTTTTTTAATATTAAATTTTATTTTTATATTCCCCCATACAATTGCAAACGCCCCATTCTGACCCCAATCCTTCCCCTCCCGCCCCCCACCCCCCAAAAAGTGTCTCTGGTTCATAGTTTTTTGTTGATTTTGATTTTCACTTTCTTATATTCATTTTCCTGGTCCCTTATTTAAGTTTTCTAGATTCCTGCTATGAGTGAGACCATCCGGTATTTTTCTTTTTCTTTTTGGCTTATTTCGCTGAGCATGATCCCTTCCAGTGCCATCCATGTTGCTGCAAATTGCATGTGTTTATCTTTTTTGAATGCTGAGTAATATTCCATGGTATATATGTACCACATCTTCTTGATCCAGTCATCTACTTTTGGGCATTTGGGTTGTTTCCAAAGCTTAGCTATTGTAAACAGTGCTGCTATAAACATAGGAGTGCAGGTGCTCTTTGGAATTGATGTTTCTGTGTCCTTTGGGTAAATACCTAGGAGTGGAATTGCTGGATCATATGGAAGCTCTATGTTTAGTAGGTCCAGAAATCTCCACACAGCTCTCCATAATGGTTGGACCAGTTTGCACTCCCACCAACAGTGCACAAGAGTTCCTTTTTCTCCACATCCTCGCCAACATTTGTTGTTGCTAGTTTTTTTAATATGTGCCATTCTCACTGGTGTGAGATGGTATCTCATGGTAGTTTTGATTTGCATTTCCCTGATTACAAGTGATGTTGAACATTTTTTCATATGTCTGTTGGCCATTTGCATTTCCTCTTCAGAGAAGTTTCTTTTTAGCTCTTCTGCCCATTTTTTGACTGGATTATTTTCTTTGTTGTTGCTGAGTCTCATCAGCTCTTTGCAGATTTTTGTGATCAGTCCTTTATCATTAGTGTTGGGTGCAAAAATGTTCTCCCAGTTGGTGGGGTTTCTCTTTGTTTTTCAAGTCAAGTTTTTGAAAAAGATAGCAGAGAGACAAACCCAATACTGAAAATGTTTTTCCCTGGGTGTGTTCAGAAACTGAGTATTGCTTTTGATGGCTTTCTGGGCCAAGCGTCAAAAGTTGGAAACTGGTTCCCCAAAGGTAGTTTACGCTTTCAGTGTTCTATGCTAAGAGTAAAGGTAAACTGTAAGAAGAGAGACGTGTCTATAAATTGGAGCCTAGCTTCACATCATCTAGATAGCTCAGAAAATCTCACACTTTGAACTTGGATTAATATAATTCCAGTGTCAGCACCCCCTACCTAAGAGAAATAAACTCTTCTATAAAGATAACCTCATCCTAGGACTCCAATTATTACCACAAATAACTTTGTGCCCAGGAAACAGCAGGAACCAGGAATGCAAGCTGAGAAAAACCTCATGAATGAGAAGTGGCAGAAATAGCAGACAACAGCAGTCAAAAGAAAGGAGAGGGAGTGTGAAATGGAAGATATAATGGATAAGATATATCTTATACAGGAATGCTGTTTATTCATGATTTAAGAGGGAAGAGTAGAATATATGTGTCCAAGTACAGATTTGTGGGTAGACATAGTAATGGGAGCTTATGTACATTTTCTTCAAATTGTTTCAGTGAAATTAAAAGGTTAAGAATGAGCAAAAAGGAATAGGGATGATAAATTTGAGGGCAGAGGGAAAACTTTCAAATAGTTAACTAGGATATTGACTCTGGGAATGAGCTAGGGCAACATGGTGATGTTGTCTGGCAGTCATAAACATTTGAATATAAAGGGAAGCCAGTCGTCTGCATAATTGCGTTTTTCTGCAGCCACATTTGCTATGCTGGTAATAAGTGACACAATGTGGTGACAATAATTTTAACATGGAGTGTTTTAGGGAGAAAGTATAGCATGAATGATCTGGAGATAGTAAGGAGTAGCAAGAGTCTCCTGCCCCACCCAGGCACAAAAACTATCAAGGCTGTGACAGAATTTAAAAGGGTTGCAGGGAATGTCTCTTCAGGAAAGAACCAGCTTTTAGAACATTTAGATAAAAGATGTATTATGGTCTAGAGCTTTATAGCTCAGCATATCTATAAAAAAATTATGAAATGCCTACCAGTTCACCATTGTGCAACATCATTTCTGAATTCACAGCATTCCATCCCATGTAACAAGGAGAGTTTGCTTGATGGAAAACTTTCTATAAAAATTTAGTAGCTCTAGACTGAAGAATACCAAAGAGGAGGAGCTGGAAATGGGAGGAAAGGGCAGAGGAGGTCAATCTGATAGTATAAATGACACTAGAACTTTGTTGGTAGGTAAGGTGGGATTTTTATACATATAGAGGTGGGACACTACCACTGGAATTCATATAGTATTGCAAACCAATGGTTAATCAATACAACTTTATTTTTGAAAACAGAATTTATTAGCTTATATTAGCTATTTCTTGGAAGAGTGGAGATGGGGAATGGAAATGTGTATTTCGTTCCATCAGATAAAATTGTAAGCCTGAATTAGATCCTGGTAGAGAAATCTAGTTGTAATTTCCACAAACTTCATATAATGTTCAAAATTCTAAGAAAACAGGGGGAAGTGATTAGAATAAATGGGGTAACTCTTTTACCCCTTTCTTCCCTACTCAATAGAACAGCAGTTCTCCAGATGTAATCCCTGGACCAGATTTAGATTTTGTTAAAAATACAGATTCTCAAGCTCTGCCCCAGACATAATGAATCACCTCTGGGGTTGGGGCCCAGATGTCTGTTTTAACAGATGTTCTAATGCCACCAAAGTTTGAAAACCATTTCAGGAGAGGAGAAGTCCTCTAATCCTGGAGTTACCAATTCATCAAGAATTCATTTTGAAGGATTAATAGAATAATAGAAGAATAGTGGAGAGGATATTTTGAAAGTCAAATAGACAGACCAGAGGAAGTGGAGAATGAGCTTGAGGAATATTTGCTATGGGATATAACTGGAACTAACAAAGATTTCTACTTATTATAGAAAATGACACTTGACAAATGTGTTTGATGATCTTACCTTTTCAATGCAAAAGAGCAGACCTATCTCTTTCAAAAATTCCTGTATTTGCATTTGAAATATGGTGCTGTTTCAATATTTTTAGCATGTTATTCTAGAATTAAGATGCTGGCTCAGTACTTTTCAGTCTGAATGTTTCCTAAAGTCTAACTTTAGGCCCCATTTGATTCTCCTGGGCATTCAGTGAAGACAAAAGTTGGCAGGTTTATAATAACTGCAGGGACTTTAGTGTTTTCCACTCATAAATCTGAAATTCAGCACAAAATGATAATCATTTACTTATACATTTTTTCTGAAAAGTATTATTTCTAATTACCAGTTCTACACATGATATTTTTCTTCAGGAAGACTGAAGAAGTTGCTTCTTTAAAAAAAAAATCATTTTTTAAAAAAATGTATGCAGAAATGAGGCCTATTGGAGGGGGAAAAGAGGGATGAGATGTGAAGAGGGTGGAGATCCAGGGGACCATGGTGAAAGATTTTGCATGCTTTGGTGGTAGGAGTGGTATGGTGTAGTATATTTCAAGAGGTATGAACCTATACTTCTAAATAAAACACACTGTTAAAACCAATGTTATCTCAAAAATAGCATTTACAAATAAAGTAGGATTTTAAAAATTCACTTTTCAGCTCTATAATAACATAAAACAGAAATATGTACCTATAGGACACTAATTCCAGCTTTTATTGACAATTCACTTTAAGTTACTGAATGTATAGATTGTAGCAATAAACAGCCATTCTCTTATTTTTTATTAGAATTATGAAATGTTCTTAAATGATAGTATGTCAAAAAAAAAACAGTATCTTCAGTGTCAATTTTACATGTTTCCAGCTTGTATTTATTTGCCTAATATCTTTATAACCTAAGTTTTTCATAGGTAAGACTATGAAATATACGATGAAAGTATCATCTGTAAGCATATTCAAATAGATTTTAGCATGACTTAAATATCTTCATGTTACACAATAAATTAATAGGAAAATACTGGATTGATCCAAATCTCGGGTGCCCTTCAGATGCCATTGAGGTTTTCTGCAATTTCACTGCTGGTGGTCAGACATGTCTATCTCCTATTTCTGTAACAAAGGTATGTCTTGCATTTTAGAATGTATGTCGGTACTTGTCTGATACTAGAATTTTAAATTAAAATTCTGTCACTTTAAATATTTGTGAATTTATAAATAGAAGCAAGATATCATTGTCTTGTATAGGCAGAAAAATTTTTTGTTTAAAAAATTTGTGGTAAATCTCAGCATTTTTTATTTTTTTATGGTTGACTTGGCTTACTCTTCTGATTATGCTTCTTAAATTCCTTCAGAAAATGTGGAACATATGTCTTTATGTATGCACATACATTAGAAAATCCCAAACAGCTGCAATGTATGTAATCAGCAATCAGGTACTTACAGTTTTCTGAAAATGACATCACTATTAAAAGAATTTTGCCTGAAAGTTTACTATTTTTGGTAATTGGGTACAAAATAACTTCCCTTGTACATCCTTAGACCGTTAAAACTTCCTATAATTGCAATTCTATAAATGAAATGATTAGAATAAATGACAGTTTATTATAATGTCATAGCAAGTATTTATAAAAGCTGAAGTTTCATTCTATATGAATATATATTTATGGAAGAAACCAAAACTGCATTTATCTTTACTTCTGGTTAAACTAGCTTTTTCTTACTAAGAACTCATTTGTCATTGACAGAAATCTGCTTCCTTTGTCAAATTTACCCTAATTACTCACTTATTAGTCAATACTTACCCACTTGTGTATTCATTCAATGAACATTTATTGATGACTCACTGAAAGATTGAAACTGCATCAAAAACCAGACACAAAAAAAAAAATAAGACTTTTTTCCATCCTTAAAGGCTCTATAGTTAAAATTGCTCAGCTAAGTTATTACAACTTGTAACATTTTTAAAAACTAAAAAAAAAAAAAAAATCCAAATGAAAGTATACACATACTTTTAAATTCTAAGGAATTAAAGCATTAAGGAATGACAAATTATTAATGCTGCTTAATAACATTACGAAATTATTTTCAGTTTCTGTCATATGGAGAAACCTAGTGGTACTCTGAGGCCAACTCATGCCAGGGAAGGAAAGCCTATTATGAACATCTCTTCCCAGCAACACTTTGAATGACACCACCTGATAGTCTGAAATCAAGGATGGAGGGACTATTTACACCATGGAGATCTGAAAAGCTGAAAATCAGGGATTTCCCTCCTCCCCCTAGTAGCCAGTGGTTACAGAATTAGCAGCACATCACTGATTGACACTTAGTTGCCAAGAAAAGTGACTTCCTCAAGAAGTCAAGGAATTTCCTCAACTTTCCCCAAACTTTAAGTTTCTGAATTGACATATCTTATAACCTGCGTATTATTTTGATATCATTAGTTGGAGTTTGGAGTTGGGAAAGTCCAGATGAACTTCCTTCATTTACTGAGCTCAGAAGCCACCCATCTCCTCACCATTCACTGTCTCAACACTCCATTGTGGACAAGCGCTCAGGCAAGTGGCCCAGGATGGCCTGTTGGTTTCAAGGGATGGAATGGCCAGATATTTGGAAAAAACCCTCTACTTGAACCTAAAGTGCTTTCAGATGACTGCAAGGTAAGAGAATGATACTTTCAGAATTGTTTGGTATAACTAACTTAAATATGATAAAAATCATAAAATTAGGATGAATAAAACTAATTGTAAGCTGAAGATACAGAGAAAAGTAAGATATTTTTGTGTTTGATTTGCAATAATTACATTTTTCAGAATCAACTATTTGCTTCCATCACATCTCATTACCTTTTGTCATATAAATTGGTCATCTGTGAATTGCGTATGTGAAACTTCCAGTGGCTCACCACTCCCTCTGAGACATGCTCCAAATTTCCCAGCTCTTTATTGAATGTTTAGAATAGTCAGACCCCAACCTTCCTTTCTAGTTTGGGCTCTTCCTGATTGTTCACACTCATCATCATATCAACAATTTCTACTACTAATTATTGGGAATTTTTTTACATGGGAGTTACCATGTATTGTGTATTATTTAATCAAAGCAGCCTTGTAATAGAGATTACACTTAGTTTCATTTTTATAGGAAAGAAAGTAAAAAGACAGAGAAGGTTAATATAGCTTGTTCAAGGTCTAATTAGTGGAGCTATTTAGCTCAGGAGCAAGAAATCAACTCCACAAAGGTATACCTCCAAAGCCTTTGCCATACTCTATAGCTAGGGACTGTTCATTGAAATCTCATTTAATCCTCACAACTGCATGAAATAGATATTTATTTCTATTTCATATAGGAGGAGATGGATCATAACTGGATTTCCATCAAAATATGTTCCAGGCCAAAATCTGTACCCATGCTATCCAATTTTCACTACCAACCTACTTTCCAACCTTTTATTTAACTCATCTCATTCCCTTTCTCTGAAATACCTTTCTCTACATCTCTAACCAAGTAGAAATTTTAGGCCTGTTTTAAGGCCCATCTTAAATTCTGAATTCCTGATGCTTTCCCTGATTACTCCAGCTGGAAGTAAGGAATTTTGTATTCATTGTATTATTTTGCTTTATCACATGTGACCTTGTATTATGACTGTTTTTTTCTCTTCTCTGACTAGATTTGTAAGCTACTAAAATTCAGAAACCAGGCCTAATTTATTGATCTTTATTTTTCCAAGCATTGTAAGAAAATTGATACATTTTATTCAACTGTTACCAAATGTATTTAGTGTTTAATAAATATTGCTTGAAAGACTTACTGAGTTAATCTAACAGCATCTTACACACAGGAGTCTAGTTCTAGTAATCACACCAAGTATATGATGTTAGTAATTTCTCTTCAGTGGACTTCAATGTCTTAATATCAATAATATTTATGGCTTAAGTAATCACTAATGTTCCTTAAAATTTTTAAATTCATAGTATTATAGTTCTGAAAATAAGTGAATAAAAAGTTCCTGAATAAAAAGCTTCATAAAACTGGTTGTGTTTCTCTATTTTATCTTCTTGAGTCTTAATCATAGGATATTTTGTACTATGTTTTTGTCCCATGCACACAAAACAGCATAGAATAAGATGAAGAGAAAGGCCTAGAAACTGAGAAGAAATTAAGAAGTAACCACACAATGGGAAAACAGAAACCTAAAAAATGATTCAACATAATTATAATTTACTTCTGAAGCTATTATTATTTCTTGACTGTTCATCCCCGTCTCCTCCCACCAAAAAAAAAAACCCATCCTGAAAAATCAGTCCCAAATAAAGAACACAGACGGGTATTACTCATAATAGGAATAGTGCAGTCTTTTAATTCATGTCTTATCCAATGATCTGCAGACCACAGAAGTCTGACCTTAGCCTCTGAGTGTAAAAAATCAGAACACTGTACCATTATAGGAAAGAAATAAGCCCGTGTTTCCAATTCTTATTAATTGTTACCATTTATTGGGCACTTTCTCTGTGCCAGGTATTGTTCTAGGTACTTTCTGTTCATAATCTCTTATCCTTAAAATATATCTCTACATTGTCTATGAAGGTCATTTTCTGAGAAAATGAAACAATTTCCTATTAAAGCCCTTTGTTCTTATTTTACAGATTCAAGATGGCAGCTGGCATAAGGCAAAATTCCTTTTTCACACCCAGAACCCTAATCAACTTCCAGTAATTGAAGTACAAAAACTCCCTCATCTCAAACCTCAACAGAAATACTACATTGAAAGCAGTTCTGTATGCTTTCTCTAAAGTCTCTGAATTAGTTCAGAATTCATGCTGTTGGCCAGGTAATTGCTGCAGAAGGAAAAATATATAAAGATACTATCATTATGAAATGCATTGGCTAAATCTTAAAGAATCTCAGGAAGAAAAGACTTCCTCCTAAGAAGGAGAAAAGGCGTTTTTAAAGGACTATGATTGATAAAGTATTTAATTCTTTTAAAAATTATAATGATCTGATTTCCCTAGAGAATTCCCTAGAACTGAAAATTTATAAACACGGAATTCTTCAGGACACCATATGTTTTTTGACTGTCTGAGAGCAAAGTACCCTTTAGACAGCTGGAGACGCAGAACACTGTGGAGCAATACTGGTTAATGCTTCCAGATGTGCAATGCTTCTGTCTAAAAACTACCAGCCACAATCCAATATGTCATTTTCCCAAACACTAAGCTGTATTCAGGTCCCCAGTGGGCATATACATCTTAGCCAGTGGTACACTACCTCTTACGTGTTGCCTTTTTGTGTTGCTTGGTGCTCTTTCTAAAACAAGGTGCTTGTGGCTTTCATAAACTATTTCTTTTTTTGTCTTTGTCATACTTTAAGAGTGTATGTACTGGTTACATCAAAATATGTTTGGTAGCATTTATTTTAATTTTAATTTGTTTGGTCACATAATAACAAGTAAAACATTATTTATGTGAAGTCCTTTTTCTATTTTAAAATTCTCTTTGTGGACTCAAAACCAGCACAATGTAACCTGTACTTCTGCACAAGAGAATTGGGAGGGTTTTTTTGTATTTGTTTTATTTTTTAAAGTGCTGTAAAAATATTGGCCAGCTACATCCAGTAGTAGGTTTGGGTTGAGTTTTGGGATTGTTATATTCTATTTTTAAAAATCCATGATCATCTGGAATGATACTTTGTGTATTTATATTTTGTAAAGTTTTAATTCAGCAAATCCTTTGAAATTGCTGCTGTTTTAAGTTATAAAAACTTTCTATTTCTGCTTCTTCGAAATTACATGTTTTGTAGTATTCATTTTCTTTTTCCGTTCTGAAATTTAATGTGTTGGGACCTAAAAGAATTCAACTCACAAGTCTTTAAAGCAACATCCAGGAAAAAAATAATTTTTGTAATTTAAAATAGGGTCAGTTTACACTTATTGTCAAAGAAATGTTTGTTCAGAAAAAAATAGTATACCTTTTGGTATATCTTAAAGCTTGTTACATCCATTATAAACATACCTTTAGCCATAGCAAACCACACTTACCTATCGATAATAAAAATGTGCTTTACATCTATTTTGGTTGTATTTATTTTATCTTCTTTTACTACCATATCATTCCATTATGTATGATAGCCCCTCTGGCATAACTATTCTGTTAATGTAGATTTAAAGTACCAGAAAATATCTGTTACAGCCCTGCAAAAAGATTCAGTGTTTCGGGCCTCCCCGGTGGCGCAGCGGTTGAGCACTGGGTTGCTGCCCGCAGCCTCTGTGGCGCCGGTTCGATCCCCGGCTGCTCCCCGGCCACTGGAGGAGGGTCCCACATGGCGCGCAGACCTCTCCTGCCGCCCGCTGCTCCCCTCAGCAGTGTACTTCGGCCCTTCTGCCTGCTCTGCTCCCCGCTCTGGCTCTGGTGAATTCTCTCACCCTCCCGCGCTTCTGACTGTACCCAGTGCATGTATAAACAAAACAAACAAACAAATAAATAAATAAAGCATGCCTCTATTAAAAAAAAAAAAAATTTAAAAAAAAAAAAAAAAAAAGATTCAGTGTTTCTATTTATACAAAGTAAGATCATAGAACAAAAATATATTCTCATATATAGTCAAGCAGTTTTCACCAACGGTGCTAAGATCATTCAACAGAAAAGGACAGCTTTTTATACTCCTGTATTTCTTTTAATGTGGCTTCACTAGTAACAAATTCTGGTTTTTGTCTGAAAACTCTTCAATCTCCTCATTTTGTCTGGAGGACATTTTCACTGGTATAGAATCTAGATGTTATTTTTATCCCTTTTAAAGATTGTCCTAAAAGTTCTATTTTCTATTGTCCTATAACTTCCATCATTTCTATTCAAAGTCAGCTATCAGTTTTGTATTTGTTCTTTTGAAGTGTTAGTGTTTTAGTTTGTAATAGTTTTAATACTACAATGTGTTTAGTTTTCTGTGTAATTTGCTTGAGATTCAAAAAGCTCCTTGACTGTATAACCTGATCTCCTTGGTAAACTTTAGAAAACTTTTGGCCAGGGTTTCTTCACATATTACTACTGCCCATTCTCCCATCTCTCCTTTTGGGACTTCAGTTCCAAAATTTTAGACATTTACTGTATCACATAAAACTTTTATGCTCTTCCACATTCTTGTCCTTTTTCTTGTTTTGCTTCAAGTTTTTTTTCTCCCAGTTATAGTTTACCAAGTCTGTTTGCTGTGTCTAATCTGTTGCTTAGCCCATCACTGAGTTCTTAAATTCAAGCAGACCTCTCCTGACTTGCCCGTTGCTCCCCTCAGCAGTGTATTTCAGTCAGTCTGCTTATTCTGCTCCCCACTCTGTCTCTGGTGAACCCTCTCACCCACCATCCCTCAACTCTGGTCTGTACCCCAGCTATTGTACGCATGAAAAAATAAATCTTTTAAAAAAAAAAGTGTCCCAACTGAAGACCTATGCTGGTTATAGGGACCCTAGTCTCCTTTGTCATCTCTTAACTCCAACTTTCTTCTCATTCTACTCCCTAGTCTCCTAACCCGTCAATTTTGAAGACTGCTAAAGTTCTCAGACACTGTTATTCTCAGCATTTTCCTTCATCTGAAGAATATCTACCATTTCCTGTAGTGGTTAGCTGGTTAGGATTCTGGTCTTTGTCTTGCACTTCTTTTGAAATATTTTTTCTCTAATTATAAATTCTTACTTACCTTTTATCCCCAGTATTTTGGATATGTCATTATAATGTCTCTGACATCTATTATTTGTGATAAGTTAGACATTACCTATTGATATGTTGCTGTTCCTTGTATATAATCTGACCTGTTATTTCTTTCAAGATTTTTATCTTTCTTTGACTTTTAGCAATTTATCGATGACATGCCTTGGAGTTTATTTTTAATCCTACTTGCGGTTGAATTCAAATCTAAAAGGCTCTATATCATCACAGTGCAACGTTTTTCACTTATAATCCCTTGTGTTATTGTTCTCATACAACATGACTCCCCAAAAATAAACACTGATGTACACAAAGAGGTAACCATAAGTCAAAATTGAAATCAATCACTTCACAAAGTACACTGCAAAAATATTTTGCCACTGGCAAAATAGTGTAGCACATTAATCTAAAGCCTAATGGGTATAATAAATTAGTTTTTAAAAAAATGCTCTCAAGTTCACCTAAAATATGCTGTCTATAGAGGCCGAGTTACCATGAAACTAACAAATTTAATAATTGGGCCTTTAAGTGGCCTTTGAAATCACATAGGCATTTCTGTAAAGTTTATGAAAAACTAAAATTATTTTATTTTTACAAAAAGGACCCTAATTTGTGTGAACCTCAGGCCTCACAAAACCTAATCTATTGCTGCCTTTTATGTGGAATAAAACATAAATATAGTTCTTTCTGTGGGAAGCATAAAGTTTATTTGATAACTTTTCAATAAACAGAGAGTGGATGCTGCTGGTAGCACAGAAATGAGCTGAGCGGTACGACATGTTTAGCAGCAGGCACCTTACAGACCTTATTTTCTGACCAAAATGTTCAAGTTTGACTCTCTCACATAAGACCTAAAGTTTTCATAGTTTCAAAAATAAGTGTAAACTAAGCCTCAATGTACAGTGCAATGCCTTATTAAAGCATAACTTTAATATGTTTTTTCACTGTGACCTACATAGTAATGGGCTGTCAGCGGTATGGTGAAGTCATTGTCACCTCAGCCTGGGTACACAATTTTGCAGTCTGTGTGCTTTGGATTTGAAGTCCTTGTTTAATCAAAGCCAAATTAGAAAAATGGCACCTCCACAAAGAAGAGCAACTGGTAGAGAACCTGAGTTATCACTTGGCTGTACTTAGCAGGGGAGTTTTAGGACTGCACACAGTACAAAAAATAATCCCAATAACACCCCATTAAAGATAATTTGATTTCTAGGCCTCCCTGGTGGCGCAGGGGGTTAAGATGCAGCCTATGGGGCTATCCACAGCCTCTGCAGCATGAGTTCGCTCCCCCGGCTGGCCAGGGAGCTACCCACATGATGCAGCAGACCTCTCCTCATTTGCTGCCCCCCTCAGTAGTGTATTTCAGTCATTCTGCCTGTTCTATTCCCTACTCTGTCTCTGGAGAATCCTCTCACGCCCACACATCTGCCTGTGCCCCAGCTCTTATATGCATAAATAATCTTTTAAAAAATTTTGATTTCACCAAGTATCTATTTCCAAAATATTAAGAGATTCAAGAAAACGCCTCACTTCTTGAAGTAAACGAAAGAAACCCAGTTTCATGAAAAGGATGCTCTTTGTGAAGAGATAAAGACCTTCCTTAACTATTAGAAAAGAAAAACTTTATTTGAATCTTAATAGTATATTCAGTTTTTCTTACTTGAAAGTTTTTAAATTGTAGAAGCGATTCAGTCATTTAACTACCAATACAAATGCCAATATACTATATCAAATATTCATAGTTACATTAATTTTCATTCCTATTTTCTATGTAATTCAATATATCATATCATGTCTTTCTACAATGACCAAAAAAAAAAGTTTGTACGAAAGTTTTGTACAAAAGTTAATTAGTATAGACTAACAAATTCATGGTTTGATAGTTGGAAGAAAATAAAACAATAGGAATTTATTTCATTGATTTTATAACCACATATATTCCAGCCAGTAAAACTTGCAGTTTTTAGGCTTCTGGTGTTAAAAATAAATGTTTTTCAGAATTTTTTTCTAAAGTGTTTTTAGAAATCTATTCCCATACTTTCTGTAGATCTTTCCTGGATTCCTCTAATTGTAATAACTCAATACTTGGATCTTTCTAAAGGCTGAAACTCTTGAATCATGATTTATTTGTTTGACCCAATCATTGGATATTTCTAAAGACTGAACTTCCTGAATCATGATTTATTTGTTTGATCCATTATGCTCATGCCAATAGATTTAGCCAATTCTTTGGAACCAGTTACTTGTGTTAAAATACTAGGCCCATCCAATCACAGTATATCATGCTTTCCTGTTAAAGAATAATCATACCCAACATCAATCTGTGGTTTCTTCTCTCATGCCTTGCTTGTATCCCACGCTTGGAATCCAAACTTAGGAGTTAACCTTGCCCTGATCCCCTACAGGTAAAAGAAATGCAATCTTTACTGCAAGGCCTATAAGACTTTGGTTACCTGGGCTCTGAATACCTGTCAACCTTCTCTCCCTTCTTTCTCATCAGCATCAATATACTTCAGCCATATCTAACTTATCAGATGTTCCCTGAACATACTATACTTTCTCATTCCTCTGTCCGGAAGGCTCACCTGCCTGTCCTCTTGACCAACTTCTACTCATTCTTCAAGTAAGTTTCTTAAGGAAATCTTTCCTAAGTTTCCTACAAAGGAATGCATGCTACTTCCTCGTTATGTCATATTCTATATTTTATGCTTGCTCCAATATGTTCTCATTGCACTTCACTCATTTGTCTCCCTTCACTAAACTGTAACCTTCCTGAAGGCAGGGTATAAATGTTTGTTTATAATCACATAGAATGGCATAATGCTTGGGCCTCCCTAGTGGCACAAGGGGTTTAGCACAGCACTAGGAAGCTATCCTCAGCCTCTGCAGCGCGAGTTGGAGCCCTGGCTGGCCAGGGAGCTACCTACATGGTGAGGCAGACCTCTCCTGTCTTGCCTACTGCTCCCCTCAGCAGTGTATTTCAGTCAGTTCACCTGTTCTGTTCCCTGCTCTGTCTCTGGTGAATCTTTTCTCCCTCCCGCACCTCTAGCCAGTACCCCAGTTCCTGTATGCATAAATAAATAAATCTTAAAGAGAATAGCACAATGTTTGATGCAAATAGGTGCTCAAAACTTTTCCTGCTTTCATGTTTCGTTGTATGTCGTAACTCTGAGTTTGCAATTCAAATTGGGCAAAAATTTGCAAGGTCCCTGTACTTAATGAACTTACTATCTGGGAGAAAAACTGTTAATCAAATGATAACATTAATGAATATGTAATTACAACTTGAATTGAGGCCTCTGAAAAGCACACAGAGACACACACACACACACACACACTGACAGGCTGGAGCAGGGGTGGGAGAGGAGTAACAA